CTGAGCAGCTGGGACTACAGGTGCCCACCAGAACACCCAGCTATTTTTTTGTTGTTGTTGCAGTTTGGCCAGAGTTGGGTTCAAACCTGCCGTTCTCGGTCTATGGGGCCGGCGCCCTACTCACTGAGCCACAGGCACCACTCCCTCTCATGGTTTTCTGCTGTGGTGTGCTCCTCTCCCTAAGAGAGGGGGTGACTTGCTGGATTTGTGAGATACTCTCCTTTGGGGAGTAGGTAGACCTAGGCATGCACTGCCCTGCTAGAAAGGACATGTCAGCTCTGCTCCTTCACCCAGAGTTGACCAGAACTGAGTGTTAAGCATCTATACTTCCAAGGCTCAAAAGAAAGACAGCCACCTGCCTACAGATAAAATCCCAATTCTCCAATATATGCTTTGTCAGTACCAACAGTGACAATTTTCAGTTCCTTTTTCCTTTATTTTTTTATCTTGTTTTTCAATCGGTTTAGAACTCAGAGGGATGTGGTGCTATTTACTGGGGCTTTTTCAGCTTTCAACAGTGAATAAGGTTGTAGAAGCCCAGATCCCTGTTAACAGCCAGACTTAAAAAACTGGTATCAAACATACTACACTTTGTAGATGCCAGCAGTTTTCTGATGTGGCCCAGTTAAGCTTCTTTACAGAGCACAATTGTAAAAGCAGAGCACAACTCTGCTTCTTGACAGAGTACCAAGGTTGAAGCTGATCAAAGACCACTCTAAAAAGGAAGCTGCTTGGGCAGCGCCTGTGGCTCAGAGAGTAGGGTGCCGGACTCATATACTGAGGGTAGGGGGTTCAAGCCCAGCCCCAGCCAAACTGCAACAAAATAAATAAATAAATAAAGGAAGCTGCTCTGTGCCCATGTATTTATCTGGAAATTAATAATACTCTGTTTGGACCTAGAGTAAAATTTCTCCCCTTAAAAATAAGTAAGCATAGGGCAGTGCCTGTGGCTCAAAGGAGTAGGGTGCCCACCCCATATGCCGGAAGTGGCAGGTTCAAACTCAGCCCTGGCCAAAAATTACAAAAAAAAAAAAAAAAAAAAAAAAAAAACCCAAAAAACCAACCAACCAAACAAACAAAAAAAATAAGTAAGCAACCTTCTTCTAGATCCTAAATCCTATCAGTTTAGTCAGTAGACACCCCATCAAAATTCTATTCTAGGCTTGGTGCCTGTGGCTCAAGTGGCTAAGGCACCAGCCACATACACCCAAGATGGTGGGTTCAAATCCAGCCCGGGCTCGCCAAAACAACAATGATGGTTGCAACCAAAAAATAGCCGGGCATTGTGGCGGGCCCCTGTGGTCCCAGCTACTTGGGAGGCAGAGGCATGAGACTTGCTTGAGCCCAGGAGTTGGAGGTTGCTGTGAGCTGAGATGCCAC